TGGTCTGTACTCAAAAGAAAGTTTGGTGATCGGCCATCCCGCTTGCTTCTCCAGAAAGCACTGGGCTCTTAAGGAGCTCCTGGGKTTCTTAGAGAGCCAGAGAGCCTGGTGCTCACAGCACACACCAGATGGGACTGGACTGTCCTTGTATATGTGAATGAAACCACCTTGCAAGTGAGGGTTTATTATGACCACCTGTGCCATTTTGTTCTTGATGTCCATAAAGAGATGTTCAAAGTTCCAATCATGTCTGTATACCAGCATGGGTATTCCCTAAGGTGAGAAAGGAAAAAAAAAAGGTTTTGGAAATTAAATCTATAGTGGAGGTTTCCATCTGATKACAGATATATTCTTCAGCAGTGACTCAGTGACTAAGTACCAAACTGGACAGTATATTCCTGGGCAAGGAATGTAGCTTTGTTGTCTCCTGATGACTCTGTTCCACCCCCACCCTTTGGACACAGTAACACAAGAAATCCAGCCTGGCTACAGTGGCCTTGCAGATATTGCCCTGTAGAATAGTGTGTCTGAGGACCACAAGAGAGGAAGAGYGCTAGAGGAACAGGAATGGGAATGTGCACATTTGTGATCTATCTTGTGACACTGAGCAGAGACTGTGCACAAGGAAGCCACTCTCAGGATGAATTAAAAATGGCTTTGGGCTTAAGCAACTGACAGCCTAATTGCAGGCAATGAGGGAATAAGTACATCCTAGTATAACACCTGACTGGACCTGGAAGGATGAGGGCAGCCACTGGAAGGGACAGTGTGGAAGTGCCACTGTGCTCAGGGAGTCAGAAGGCAGGTCACAGGGTTTGATGCAGTAAGAAAGGAAGGGCCTGGAGACAGCTGGAAGGTCGGGCTGGGGTCAGGTGATAGGGCCTCTGTTACAGATGGGGGCGCGTGGTGGAGGCCATGTAATGCTGTCTACACGCTGTGGACTGGCTGGGGGTGGGGGTTTCTGACTGCCCCTTTCCAGGGGTGCCTGCACTGATACTTCCTACATGGTGGCATTCTGGTAGGAAACTAAGATGAAGTGGTGCTGCTGGCACTGGGCAGCTGGACCAAAGGCTAAATACTCTGACGTGAAGCCTCGGCCATGGCAGTTTGAGGATGACAGAATGGGGAGGTCTGCGCAGTGGTTTCTGGGCACCAACTACATATGCAACTGAAGGGGTGGCAGCAGTGATGGGTTTTCTTGGTGGTACCATTAACTGTAGTGGAAACCCAGTCCCCTGAGACTTGAGGCTGCCCTGGGGGACAGGTGCAGATGGTGATGGTGATATGGAAGAGAACTGGGGACACTTCCCAGCCCAAAGAAGGCATAGGGACCACAGACCACCAGTGGGGAGGAGATAACACAGACAAGAGCCTGGGTGTCACTTAAGTCTGTTTACCCTGAAACCCACAGGGCTGACTGACACAAGCAAATCATTGGCAGAGGGCCCAGCCTACCTTGAGGGTGAGCCGGGGCTTTCCCTGGAGGAAGCGGCTGCTAATCTGCCGCTGGATCTTCTCCAGGTCAAACTCCTGCAATGTCTCCCCACCTTGCTCCACTTGATACTGGCAGTTGGAGATAATCAGTGGAATCAGGTCTCGTTCCACTTCGTAACTGATAACATGCAGGTCAGTGACCTCTGAGGCATCCACGGAATAGCTGAGGGACACAAGATACAATTCTTGGGGTCCAGGGCAGGTGTATGGGGCCTAAGGCTTTGGTACATATGCTCCTGCTTCTGCCTTCATAGTGTGAGCAAGTGAAAACCATGTGTAAACACGGGGCTTTGTTGAGGAAGGCTGAGAGAGTGGGGACAAGAGCTGTTGCTGGCAGAGTCTGCAGCCAAGCCTGGTGGCAGGGATGGTGGGCTTCTGTAGTACCTGTTGTTTTCCTTGGAGAACTTCTCCACCATGTGGATGATTTCATTGTGAAGGTTAATCAAGTAGCTGACTAACGCAGTTGAGCATAGACCCAGGCCCCGACGCCGGGGTAGGATGACCTCAAAATCTGTGTCCAGATCCAGGTCAGAGCTGCAGTAGTCTTTAGGTAACTTGATTTCACCTTTAAAAGACAGGATCATTCCTAAGCGGAGGGATTCTGCTCCAGGCATTTGGGTCACAGCCTGGGGCAGCCATTTCCATAGAGCTGGTCCCTGGCTGTTAAGTTTCAAGTGCTCTCAATTCTATTCTTATTCCATATTTATAGATTCAAGAGTACTGAGGATTACTTTGGAGATTGATTCATGTATCCCAGCTCCTCCATCAATAGGTTGCAATTGCCACACACACACAGCAGGGTGCTGGCAGAGCCACATGGAGGAGGACACTTACCATTGGTCTCCAGTGACCACCTCAATGCATTCCATGTGGACAGGAAGATGGTGATCCTGTTGTGGAAKAGCTGCCTCAGCCCCTCTGTTGAACAAAACACCTGGTAAGATCCCCATGGAAACAACCCCTAGCACTACCCTGACAAGAAACCACAAGGTGTGCTCCCAAGAACCTGACCCTGCACCTTCTTCACGTTCAGTAGCATGCCACATTTCAAGTTTGAGGTTGTGTGAGAGCTGGAGAAGGTGAGGGCTTTCTAGCCACAGCAGTGGCTCAAGGCATGTCTCTGGGATTTGGCATCATTTGCCTCATGTTCTAGCTTAGAATCTGAGCCCCACCCTCATGCCCCAACCTGAATGATCCTTTTGAACCATGACACATGGATGGTCCTGTTCTTTTGTTGGAGCAGGCAGCAGTCGTACCTGAACTGTGACTGCTAATAAAACTCCTGATGGAACAGTATTCATCTTCTGGAACATTCTGGAATTGTTTCACTAGATCCCTTTGCAGGGCCAAAATCTCAGGTAAGAATTTCACCAGTCTTAGTTCTGCCTCCTGGAAAAGGGAAAACAGCTCAGTAACACTTTCTCTATTTAACTGAGAAACAACATGAGGTGTATAGATTTTGGGGCAGGCGGGGACTTTCTGTGTGGTTTGTGTGGTCAGTGGGTTGTTTTACATGATTATACCCTGAAATTGCAAATGGGAAAGGGGCAAGCCCATCCTCTCACCAAGTGGAGGGCCTTCAATATTTTAGACATGCCATGCACACGACAGACGTAGGATGAACAAGACCAAGTCCCCTCCTTTCTCCAATGAAAAGCTTCCTCAAGGGCTAAGCTGGGCCACCATCTCTCAGTTTGACAAGAATCAACTCTAGATGACCAAAGACCCAGATGTAAGACTTGACATCTGAAGCTGTCAGCAGAAAAATAGAGGAAACACTCCAAGACATTGGCACAGGCAATGGTTTTCTGGATAGGGCCCCAAAACCACCTTTACCTGACAGCTGGTAAATACCCAGACTATATAACTCAAAAAATTTAACAACAAAAATATCAAAGCAATCCAATTTAAAAATAAGCAAATGACCTGAATAGACACTTCTTAAAAGAAGAAATACAAGTGGTTAACAAATATATGAAAAAATGCTCAATATCAGTAACCATCAAGGAAATGCAAATCAAAACTACAATGAGAYGCTATACCACCACAGTTAGAATGGCTGTTATAAAAAATAAGATAGGCATGGTGGCATCTGTAATACCAACTACTCAGGAGCCTGAGGCAGGAAGATCACAAGTTCAAGGCCAGCCTCAGCAAGTTCTAGGCCAGTCTGGGCAACTTAGTGAGACCTTGTCATATTGGGGGGAGCTGGGGTTGGAGACTTTAGCTCAGTAGTAGAGCATTTCTTGCCTAGCAAGCCCAAGAAGGCCCTGGGTTCAATTGCCACTAGTATCCCATTCTAAGAAATAAATGAACCCAAACATAAAATAACAAATGCTCACAAAGATGAAGAGGAAAACGAAATCTAATATACTGCTAGTGGAAATGTAATTAGTGCCTCATAATGGAGAATAGTATGGAGGTCCCTCAAACTAAAAAAAAAAAAAAAAAAAAAAAACCTACCTTGTGACTCAACTATCCCACTTGAAAGAAAATTAGTGTATCGAAGAGGTACTGCACACCCATGTTTATGTGGCACCATTTACAGTAGCTAAGACATGGAATCAGCCTAGAAGCCCATCAGCAGATGAATGGATAAAGATGTAGTTTATATACATAATAGACTATGACTTTAGCTGTAGGAAGAATGAACTCCTATCATTTTCAGACAAATAGATAGAACTGGAGGATGTAATTTTAAGTGAAGCCAGACACAGAGACAAGATCAGTGCATGCTATAGGCATACACTGAAATATCGCACCAATTCCCATTAATGTGTATAACTAATTAATTTATAAAAGTAAATAATTTGGAAAAAAATTTTAAAACYTGACTCTTGGGCCCACTGTTGGGTGTGATGCTGCTGGAAGGAAAGACCAAGGCCTGGGGCAATGGTAGCTGGTGTGATTCCTGGATTTTGTTCTGAAGATCCAGAATCCAGCATCCTCAGTCAAATAAAACTGT